CAGCTTATTTAATCTTATATACACATCAGTTTCGGAATTCATTATTTATTATGCAACTAATATCTCCTTTTCAGATATAACCTGAATCGCATAAGGAGTATCACCAATTGAATATGAAATCATTCTGATTCCATGATCAACCCAAAATGAATATCTTGTATCGAAATTTAAAGTATAGAAATGAAGATATATTTCTGCTCCAAATTCAAGATTTCCACAAATAGTCGATAGGATATTAAAAGAGGATGTGGTGTATATTTTAGATGCAAATTAGGTACATACATTAATTTAAGTATCTTATCCTACTTGTTATCCATGAACATCAATCTATTTAATAAATGTCTACTAATTATTATTTTCATCCCTTTGCATCCAACTTACATATAAATTTCCATTCTGTGCCAAATCTAAATCAATAGAATCAAATATCTGAGTATTTTCCTTTAAGACAGCTACCGTATTCTTTTAAGATTATTCACAAACATTGAGTTGATTTAATTAATAACCAAATTGACATACTAAACATTAATCTTTTGTGACACAAGTTGCACAACCTTATGGACATTATGCTACACATTTACTCATATCAGCAGTCAATACGTAATCATTATTACATTACAAACAAGCTTTATCTGAATTGCAATTCTAGCAATTTGATGGACATTACTTTCCAAACCCAACAGTCAAATTGTCATTCAATAACACTCTTTCTAAGTAAACCTGATTGGTTGATGAGATTTTTGAAGAGCCATAAGCCAACCAACTAAGTATTAAATATTAATTATCCTAATTCAATACTTTCAAATTTTAAGGAAGCACAGAATTCGAATTAATACTTTAATTAACAACAACATCAGTAAATTCGAATCTTAAATACTAGACAGTTGTGAATCTGTCGCTCAAGTCATATTCCTCAAATAACAAGACAAAGTTATTATCTTTGAAAGCATTTAATTATGGTTTTCTAGCTTTTATCTTAGAATCAGTTGTATAAAGTAGGGTTGAATCTTTCCAATTAAATACAATTATGCTTTAAACTGTTTCCATAGCAATCATAAATCTGTTTTTATTTGAAATCTTAGATAAAGATGGATTAATAAAGTCTTTTTAGCAAAATACGTAGTCACCATATCCAAAAGCCTCCTCGTAGACTCTTTATCCAACTAAATTGAACTAACTTAGTTAAAGGCTGCATCCTCTTGCAATTAGAATATACAAATATTATTCATCAAATTCATAATCAAATTTTCTTTCTTCTTAATTATACCAAAAATTCTATAGGTATTATACTTATCCTAAATATTGATTTATCAAAAACTCTCCATTATAAGTGTAAAAACCAAGATTTAAATTAATGCTATCACTACTATCCAAGCCTTTTAATATCAAGCAAACTGAATTTTCAAATCCAACAACAATTAGGCTGTTTTAAACATCTTCTCTATATGAAAATCCTTAATTCTAGATTTGTAATCTTATAATAGTTGTAAATTCAAAGGTTTTTGGATTAAATTGTCTCTATTTGATCACAGTTGATCCCTCAGAAGTCTCTAATGTGTATAAATATGCAGTAGTATCATCTACTAAAGCAACATCATATCCAGCCCATCCTGAATAATTTAATTAATATGCTTAGATTATCTCTCCTTCACTTGATAATACTCTAAATTATAACACCTATTATAGAGTTGAATATTCTGAATAATAAACAAGTAAACTTCCATCTTGGAATTGTTTGACTTATTAATTATATTTGTAAGTTGATTCTGAAATGCTGACTTTCAATTCTGAATTTGAATTGTTACTTTGGTTAACACACTACATTTTATTGTTTAAAGCATATCCAGATGCACAAACATCACAACTGTTCTAAGTAGAGCATTGAACACAATTTGTTTGGCATTATAATTAACATTTCTGATTATTCAACACATAACCTGGAGTGCACTTTTAACACACGTTATTTTCACAATTGTCACAGTTCAATGCACATTTTGATAAAGTCAGTTTTAAATTCAATTCAGATTAATAGAGACTTTGTGTAAATTCAGGCAATAAGGTTAATGGATTTCCACTAATCCATTAAACAAATATACTTTCATCATTGGTCTTTTAAATTGAAAATTTATAAATATTGAGATCCTCATAATGAATTTCTCTTTATTGGATGAATTCCAGAAATTCATTATCTAATTAAATCAATTAAAATCGTAAGGTGCTGTAATTAACGCCAACCAAAACTACACTTTCTTTCAAAGCCAACACTTAAATTTGACCACCCTTGAAGTAATTGTTGAATTCCCATGTTGGAGTTTATTAGCCATAATATTTTGAATAGCTTGCAAACAACACTGAATCAAAATGTTAGTTGTATACTTGATAATGTATGAATTCACCTTGTTGGTAAAATAAAACAAAATTATTGTTTGATAATGCAACTAATCTATGCTCAAGTTAATACTAATATCTTATATGTTATAGATTCTTAGTGTAAACGATCTCACCATTCTAATTTATTTTTGTAGCAATTAAATATGAGTTCAAAGCAGAAATATAAATTCGTTATACTAATATTAAATTGCCAAGGGAGTTCTAAGCTATTTCTATAAATTTTGAATTGTTTAATTTGATTGGACTGCTTCGTTATTGTGAATTATAGTTGTAAATTGTGCCACTCCATGATTTGTCGCTAGTTGTTTATTTAAACAATAGTAATAATTAATAATTTCCTAAATTGTAGATGTAATAGTATTCTGATGATAAATCCCAATGTACTTCTTCACTGATATCACTAACCAGTATTTATTCTCCTAAAGCAGTTAAATTATTGTTAAATAATTAAAGATACAATTGTGAATTGGATTCCGTTTTTTGAATCCATCCTGCAACAAAACCAATTGTAGGAATTAAGGTAATTCTAGCTTTGCTACATGCCTTTGTTGAATCTCCTATATTTTTTGGAGATGTAATTTCTGTACCATCTCTTAAATATTTGTTCATTTTGATTTGATTATTTCCATCTTCAGTGATTGTATTTTAAACTAATAACAATTCTTCGCCCTCTAATAAGTATGTCTAGCTATTTTATTCTGCTGTAGAGGTGAAAAGGTTGAATTGCCATTTATTGCTAGTCTAGCTAACTTCAGACAACACTCGGTTAACGTTTGCAAAAGATGCCACTATGAGAAGTGAAACTAAAATAATTTTCATTAAATAAATGCTTTAATCCATAACCTTTTTTTTGCTTAAATATTATGATTTTATAAATTAAAAGTGAGTTATTCTATCTGAAAAACCTAATAACTATTAGAACTGATCATACCATATCCTTGGATATTTGTAAATGAATCTTTAACAACCATAAATTTTCAATTTCAATTAAAAAAACTAAGATAATACGCTCATTTAAGACATGAAGATAGAAAATAGTGTAATATAAAGTTTGTTTATACAAATATAAATTTTATATAAATATATATAAATATATTTATATAATAATATTATCTTGTAAATTTTTATAAAATCAATTTTATATAAAATGCGCCAATTTTAATTTTTGTTTGAATATAGAGAACTGAGTGAGTTGCTGCTGAAGAAAAGCAGATTAACATATAGTAGACTCGGATATATATGAAGATATTTGATTCTTAATTTTAAGTCTATCTTCAATACTTGCATCAATAGCCAGATGAGTTGAAATATCGCTATATCAAGGGGCGTGTGATGTTGAAGCAAAAGTAATGATGAAAGTTTAGTAGTAAGAACAATACTTAAAAATTAGGCTAAAAAATAGTTGCAGATATCAAAGGCTAGGGAAACTGAATATGGACTAATTTCAACTTGTTAAAAAACACAGAATAGTCAAACAT